AGGCAAGGCAAGATATTCTAATTTTTGCCCCTACCGTTTAAGACAACGCAGATGGATGGATGACTGTCTTCCAACTTCTCACCAGCTCAAGAGAGGGTTCAGGGTTACTTGTACGTGTTTATATACAGTTCTTTGGATCAAGACCCAGAAAAACAAACTTGTCACCTTAAAATCTTTTTGAGAACTGAAAGCTAGAAAAAATGCACATACCACAAAAATTTCGGGGGGGTGGGTGGGTGCTGTAGATATTCTCCATTTATGAGCCTAAAGGTAAGAACTCCTTTCTAAAAGATGGCAAGCTTAAGACACCAGTCAATACAGCTTAGAGCCTAGTTCCTGAGAGAGAAATCCTGCATATTACATGATTTTCATGTAAAACGTTCCAAGATTTTGGGGGGAGGTTAGGATGACGCCTGCTCATATTACTTAGTAATATTCATAGTGTGATAACTGCCTCAAAATATACTGCTTTGCACCTCTTCACTCCACATGATCCCTCCATATAGAGAGCAGTAAGCCCTGCATCACCTAGGTTTAGATTTCCTCGGAGGACCTCCCTCCATCCAACATTATTTGTTTGCCTCCAATGACTAGAATGGAAGTTACGTGAGGGTAGCAGGGACTTTGTTGTGCTCAAGGCTATATACCTCTGGTGCACCTCTGGTGCATAAGAGGCACTCAAATATTTTTTAAATAAATCTTCTATAGGAGGCTCTATAGCCAGTTTTTGTAAATGAAATTCTACTAGAACTCAGTCATGCTTACTCATTTACGTATCACCTATGGCTCCTTTCATGCTATAATGGCAGAGCCAAGGAGTTGCAACAGGGTATACACAGCCCGTAAAGTCTTAATTACTATCTGGCCCTTTACAGAAATAGTTTGCTTATCCCCAATAGCACTCATTTGGGCCTTATTTCTCAAACTAGATTGGAAGCACCCTAGGTACAGGAGTTGGGTCTTAATATTCCTTTGTACCTAGAACAGAGTAGATGCTTAAAAATAGCTACCACTACACAAATACAGATTTCCTACTTCCAACATAAATTATTTTTGCACAGTTAAATCCAAAGTTAGTATTTTCCATCCTCAATTCATTTCTAGCAAGGATACAACCAAAGCTCACCTATGTTCAATAATTTGAGGGACAAGGAGAAGAGAGCCTGATGCTAAGCAAGTAGTGAACTTTCTAGTTCAAACTCACAATCATGTATTCTTTAAAGTGTGAATGCAACATAACTGGAGAGCTCCTCCCTATGTTTCAGACAAATGATTCTGAGGTGAACCATAGCTATTTTCTCAATGTCAAAATCATTTTAACAATGCATAATTCTTTTTATGCCAGGCACATTATGGGTGCTCAATAGTCACTGAATGGATCATTCTCCCATAATTATTGTGCTCATCAATTTTTGCAAATTACAATTACCTGAAAAGGGGCATCAAGATTTATATCCCTTTGCCAATTCTCAAATATGCTCAGCATTTCTCAATCCTTTAAAAAATTACAGCCTTGTCATTCTCTAAAAAAAATAATAATAATTTGCATAGGTATCATCAGTTCCAAAGAATTAAAGAGTAAATGGATCATTTTAGGCATGGTTTCAGTCCACTGTTTACCCCAGATGCAGAGGTGAGCAAATAAGATTTTTTCATATTATTGGATGAGGTATCATTTGAAAACACTGTAGACCATGGACTAGGACAGAAAAGAAAAGAAAGGGCTAGGAGCCTTACTGAATTATCTTTACTAAGTTACTGTGAATAAGCAACAATATACACAATGATATACAATCATTTGAGAAAACTATTGTTTATTTAGAAAAAAGGTTACACTGGTAGAATTCAGTAGATAAAAAAATTTTCTTTTAAAAATGTCACTGTGAAACTTTTCCAGACGAAAGTTCAGCAATACAAAGCTCCTGTAGCTGTAGAATTAAAACACAATTAACTTTCGGTTTTCCCCCCACCAGATTTGTCTGACATAATTACAAGAAAAAATGGCAAGGGACAAGTGAGTGCTGGTATCTTTTTCTTTTTTAAACAGGTTTTAATGTTGTACACGTACTATATAAAATGATTCCTAAGCATTGCATAAGACACTGCTCCCACTTCATTTTTAGTGACTAATATTAAAAACAGGCCAAATAATAAATTAAAACTGAGTTTTAAAACGAGGTAAATTCAAAATGGTTCAATAATTGTTTATTTTCAGTTTCAAACAATAAAAAGGAGGCATTTCAGATTGGGGAAAAAAAAAACAAACAAAAAAACCCCAACTAAACCCAAGCAATATTTAGTTGACCTAAAGTGAAATTCTGTACACATGTAACCTTATTTGCTTGTTGGGAACTGTATGCAGCACATTGTGCTAAAAATATGGAACAGTTAACACTTTCAGCCATTTACTGAAAATAAACATGTAGAAACTAAGCAACAAGTTAAATACAGTAATGCACAACTCAACAATTTTAAGTTTTCGGCATGGAGCAATAAAGCAGATAACTGAATAACTTAAGAAGATGCAAATGGGCCCTCTTGATTCATAATTCTCGGCAATCTACTCAGGAAAATAAATTTCTGGTCACAGCTGAACAATTTCATTCCAATCTCACCTGAAAGAAACAAAGTGATTATATTGATAGATAAGAAAGGAAAAAGAGAAGGAAGGAGGCAGGGAGAAGAAAGGGAAGGGGGGATGGATGGAAAAAAGGGGCAGAGGGAGGGAGGGAGGAAAGGAATGAAGGAGGAGGAAAGGAGGAAAACAAGAAGGAAGGAAAGAAGATTTATGAAATAAAGAAAAATCAATGAGTTCTGTCAATAACAAAGGCTTGAATTAATAAGTCCCTAGATAAGAATGAAATATTTGTGTATTTCTCATCACTTCCCCCTCTCAGAAACCATTAAAGATAGGCACACTAGGAGGAGTTTGAAGAAAGAAAAAAAAAACAACCACTGAATATTTTGTCTGTGAGAGAGGGAGAAGTCAGGGGAGGGGAGGGAGGATAAAATTAAATAGAAACAAGAAAATATTCCACAGGGGCAAGCAATAGCTTGTCAAAAGTAAACAGAACACAGAGCAATGAAAAGGAACCGATTTTACATGATCAACAAAAAAAAGAGAAAAATGACATCACATTTTTCACAAGGACACGATTTTAATAGTGACTTATATTAAGATGCAATGTCTGCTAAATTATAAAAATTGCTTTAAAAATATATTGACTTAATTATACTCATTTCCTTTCCTTTATGTACTGACATTTTCAAATACTGCATATTGAAATAAATTCAAAACATGATCATTACAACATGTGGCAAATAACTTCATATCTGCCTAACATTGTTCTCATTCAAATTTTAAACTAATGCTTAAAGCATTAAACTTTATTGACGAAAATACTACATTCACATATTTCATAAAACCAGAGCTAGAAGGGCCTTGGAAAGTAATCACACTTGCATGAAATGCTGACAAATAATTTACACATCATTTCTATACAGCATTCTGTTCACACCATGTATAACCTTGACATTACCAATTATAACTGTGGTTACACTAATGTTGAACTTACAATTTTAATACTTAAAAATCATTGTTCCTGTCCATCACTGATGAATGGATAAACAAAATGTGGTACACATTCATACAATGGAGCATTATTCAGTTATAAAAAGAAATGAAGTTCTGATACATGCTACAACATGGATGAACCTTGAAAACATGATGCTAAGTGAAAGAAGCCAGACACAAAAGGCCACATATTGCATGATTCCATTTTTACGAAATGTCCAAAACAGGCAAATCCATAGAGACAGAAAGTACATTAGTTGTTTCCAGGGGCAGGGAAGGGGAGAACTGGGAGTGACCTGCTAACGGGTATGGGGTCTCTTTTGGGGATGATGGAAATGTTCTGGAATTAGTGGTGATGGCTACAACATAGTGAATATACTAAAAACCACTTTAAAATGGCAAATTTTATATGTTATGTAAATTTTATCTCAATTTTTTAAATTGCAAAAAAAAAAAAAAGAAAGTGTTGCAATAAAGAGTATCATGGTATCAGTATGGCCATAACTAGAAAAAGAAATGGGGGTCTCAATCATGATGATGTCACAGTAGGAGAATTACTGGGCAAGGGAACTTTTGCTGACATATTTAAGGGCACATTAAAGGATAAAACTGCTGTTGCCATTAAAACATGTAAAGATGATCTTTCCCAGGAACTGAAATTAAAATTTTTACAAGAAGCCAAAATCCTCAAGCAATATAATCATCCCGATATTGTCAAACTTATAGGAGTTCGCACACAAATACAGCCTATCAATATCATTAAGAAACTGGTTCCAGGAGGCGATTTCCTCTCCTTTCTGAGAAAGAAGGATGAACTAAAACAGTTAGTGAAATTTTCATTAGATGCTGCTTCTGGATGGCGAATCTCGAGTAAAAATTGTATACACAGGGACCTTGCTGCAAGAAACTGCCTGGAGGTGAAAATAATGTTCTGAAAATCAGTGACTTTGGAATGTCTCGTCAAGAGGATGGTGGTGTGTATTCATCTTCTGACTTAAAGCAGATTCCCATTAAATGGACAGCACCAGAAGCTCTTAATTATGGGAGATATCGTTCTGAGAGTGACGCATGGAGCTTTGGCATCCTCCTCTGGGAGACCTTCAGCTTAGGGGTCTGTCCATACCCTGGAATGACAAATCAGCAAGCACAAGAGCAAGTGGAAAGAAGATACTGGATGTCAGTCTCTCAGCAGTATCCAGAGCGTATTTATCAATACAATGTTGAAGTGTTGGGATTACAAACTTGAAAACTGCCCCAAGTTCAGTGAACTTCAGAAAGAACTGCCATCAAGAAGAAAAGTCATATGGTGATGAAACAGTGCCAAACTCAGCCTTCAGGACTCTATCTTCCAGCAGAGTAATATTTTCTTCTCATTAACAATGCATTTATACCACATTACCTGGAACATTCTCCTAAGGTTTTTTTATTTTTTTAAAAATATGTGCCACTTTAATGTTTGTAAATAACAAAGCACAGGCGCTAAATGCAAGCGATAACACAGATCTTTTTCACACCTAGGACTGCTGATGTTTTTCACAGGGTTTCTACTTCAGGCTGGGTCCAGAGCTGGCTGTCCTCCATCCTAGACATCTCTACTCTTTCGGTGCTATCGACTGCACTGGTAATACTGTGTTTGCAGAAAGACAAGATTACCTTTGTAAACATCACTTTCTACTGAGTATTATCTGGACAAGACATCCTGAGGTTTTTTTCTTCCCTCCCCCCAACACCCCCAGAAATAGGCCCTGCTGTATTAGTAAGGTTGCAACTTCCCTAGGTTCCACCACACCCTCCTCCTGGGCATCAGAAAACTATGCATGAAATGCCCTCAAAGAGCACACTCTCAGAGCTGAGGAGCTGGTTTTAAATGATGTTACTTTTAGAGAGTTGTGACAGCAAGAAGCAAGTCTGAATAGTAGAGTGGTCTTGAGAAAAGAACAGCTAGACCGGTGATCAAAGTAGAGAAGAAAAATATAAATTCAGCCTTCTTATCCAAGGTATGCCCTTATAAACACACACACACACACACACACACACACAGATTTTATGATCAAATTCACCAAAAAGATCCTAAGACATGTTTCAATAGTACGCAGATTCCCCATAAAGGAGCCCGCTTGAGGGTAACAGAATTTTTGTTAGAGAAACTATAAAACACAGGCCCACAGAATTAATAAGATTGTTTTGGGTTAAGTGTCTTCACCTCAAAGGAGGCATCTGAGAATTTGGTTCCCTTCATTTTCACCAGTTTCTGAAGTTATCAGGATTTTGTGATCCTATTTCACACACACACACACACACACACACACACACACACACACAGTAGAAAGGCATATATGGATGAAGCTGACAGTTAAAAAGTCAAATGAACATTTATGAGGAAGAAGAAGATATAGGAGAAAGACACAGGGATAGCCATCTTAATTCCACTTTACTCCTTCATTTACTCTCCTTATACTACTGCTACCTTGGAATTCTTATCATAGCAAACATACTTCCTGAGATGTTCCATGTAGATAAATGTGACACAGAATTAAAACTGGGATTCTGTTGAACTGAATCTTAGCACACACAGGGGTGCCTCTTAGGATAAAAGCATGTATAAGGGATAGTCACACTCAGGGGTAAATGTGGCATGAGAGCCCTTTTCTAGGCCTATGTCCCAAAAAAACAGCACAGCACCTACTGAATATTTGGTCTACCCTACGTGAGAAAAAGAAAATAGAAAATTCCTCCTATTCTGTCCAACTTTTTGGTACCTATGAATATCAGTGCAAAGAATGCACACCCGCTAAAGAGTATAAATGATGGTAATGAAGAGAAAAATAGTTTGTGTCTATCATTTCAATCTCCTAACAAAACTTTGGAACTCATTTAATGATTACTACATACAGACCAAAATGAAAGCTTAATAAACCTGCCCTCAAAAATATGTTGCAGCACACAAAGCAACCTCTTCTTAAACAGGATACTACCAAATGCTATAAAGTGAACCTTCTTTTGAGGGCAAAAAAAAGTCCAGTGCTCTTTCTCATCAATCCCAAAGAGATATACATAATACTTCTGCACATAGCTCTCCCTGTAGAGTTAACAGAGTATCTGAAACACCGCAGGCAATAAAGAAAAATACCTGGTTGCTTGATAAGAAGGAAAGGATGAAGTCACTGCCTTCAACAAGATCACAATCTAAGAAGAGGGATATGTAACATACTCATATATTACACAGGAATCTGTGACTAAGACTCTGTAGGCAAGCTGACATGCCCACACATAAGCAATGGGAAACCAAAAAAGAAACCTAACTGAACACTCCCCACTCCAACAAATATTACCAGGACCTAGGACAGTGCTTCACCATGGTGACACATTCCTAAAATAAACAATCTCTGAGCACTTAGGAGGTCAGTTCCCAAGTATGGACTGAGAAAAAAGGCTCAGAACAGGAATTACAAAATCAATTGTTTACAGACGCTAGTATATAATGGAAACAAATGAAGTGGGGTGGGGACTGACTGAGGTAAACTATAAGAAAAAAAAAGACCCACTCTCTACATAAGGGGGGGCAGCACCTAGGGGGCCCAGCTGATTGTTGCCATGTAGAAATCAGGACACAATGTTGCCAGATGTTCCAATTCTTCAAGAGAAATTGAAATTTGGATTGTATCATATCGATTAAAATAAAGTTAAATATTGTGTGAGGCCAAGAAAGTACATGTAACAAGCCACATTCTGTCCAAGGGCTGAGAATTTGCCCTTGGGCAGAGTGTGGTTTAAAGGATAAAAGAGTTAGGTTACACCTATGATACTGGAGGTGAGAGAAGAACCTGCAAAACAGATCAGGCCTCGTTGGAGTGGAGGATTAGAACAGGAATGTAGTATACTACAAATACAGATGGGCAGGATACAGCTTAACTGCTAATGTTCTTCGAAATCAAGAATCAAAGTCCAAGAAGACTGAGCCTCTCAAAGTCTGGGAGCAAGTCTCAGTATGGCATCTGGTTCACAAAAGGACTCTCAAAAGTTAGTTAACCCTGACACTCATGAACTGAGGATCACACATATCAAATTAAAATTGAGAAGTTAAAGGAACCTGGTTCTAAGAGAAAATTTTTAATAGGCAGGAGTTTTTAGAGATTAAACTAGGGGGAAAAGTTAAAGGCAAAGCAACTAGTAGTGCTCAAGAGACTAAATCAAGGAAAGATAAGATGAATTTGGACAAAAACATTAGCAGTAACAAGTAACAGAAGATACAGAGAACAAGGAGAAAGGATTTTACAACTAAAAATCATGAGACAGGAAAAGACGACAGAAGACTTTGGAAGCAATTTAATTTGGGTCACATTTATATATTGTATTTTCTTACCTCTAATGTGATCATTTTAATTTTCCTGAAATCAAGGTGATATTTACAAATCAATGTCATTTTCCTACCCACTCTGCTCAAAAAATAGTTCTAGAAACCAACAATGAATCTTAACAATTAATAACATCTTTGAATCATGGAAATGTGACATTATGCAGCAGCTCTCTTTTCTGTAGAATGTAAAATAACTAAAAAAAGGGAGCAGGGAGCTGCAGATGTGAAGGAGCCTAAAGGTAAATGGTGCCAATCAGAAATGATGAGACTTCTAAAGGAAAAGGAAGAACAAAAGAAAGACCTGACTAATCCTAAAATGTATCCAAATAGAAGGAGGCAGCCAGCACAGCCAGGAGGAAAAAATCAACCAGAGCCTCACAAAATTAAGAGTTTACCCAAGGAGAAAGTATAGGACATGGTTGTCAAGAAGAAAGTGAACAGGATGAACATCAAGCCAAATATATCTTAAAAGGATATCTGAACTGAGAAGGTTTGCTATAAGACCACCGACCTAACATCTAACACCCAAACCAGTCTTTTCATGCCTTTGGTCCTGAAAGCTTATAGAGAGAGGTAAAGTACAAACCCATGGCCTGTGTGAAAAAGAACTCAAAGAAATCTGTAGTAAAACCTTCACATACCAAAGAATAATATTTAGGTACTGAGTAAAGAGAATATATATAAAATCACATTAAAGTGGTCAATCACAAAGGTTGACCCATACCTAATGAAGAGATAAGTGGTAGTTTTTTTTGTTTTCTTTAATAAGGAGACCATGTGAAAGCAAGAAGTAAAAAGCAAAATGCCAAAATAAAAGAAAAGAGTAAAGTGAAGCATAAAAAAAGATGAAGAGTTTATAGTTCGCTAGGGAAGACAGCTAGTTAGTTGTTGGGGCAGGGGATGACTAGAACTGAGGAATGGGCAATCTTTCTAAAGGTTTTCAAGAAAATCTACTAAATTCTAAATGTTCTCTCATAACTCTCATTTAGCCTATTCTACTACTTAGATAACAAGCAGAGAATAACAAAGCAAGGCACACACCACTTGTTAGGATATTACCCAGCTGGCAAACTCAAGTCCCTGCTCTGCAGCCAAACTAAATGGGACAAAATCCACGCCCTAAAACTCATACCTTATACAGAACGGGCTCTCATACATTTCTGACTCTTAATTTAAACAACCGTAAACAGTCTTGGTTATCTCTCTGGTTTCATAAAAGCAGCAGCAAATATTAGGGGGAGGGTAGAGACAGCAAGTATACTTGATATCATTGCAAGTATACTTGATATCATTAAGAAATGACAGCTATAATGGAAGCAAGAAAATGGGCTACAAAAGAGCTGACAACTTCAAATATGGCCATCTCAAACAATTAAATGTAGAGGGCAAATCATCCTACAAATCTCAATAATCCTAAAGCATCACCAAACAAGAGCTATTCAGATGATGATCTGAGTACTCAAAAAAGACTATCTTAAGTTCTGAACACTCTTCACTAAGACAGAGTGAACTACTGTCCACATACAATTTATTTAAGATGGTTAAACACTTTTTAAATCTCATACAAGGCATAATTACCTTGAAAACGAAGTTGCATATTTTAAATTCCAGAACGAAAAGCACAGACCCTATTTTCTGGCCTTGTAAAACATGGGCTGTGGTAGCAAATGAGGCATAAAAACTTAGAACAAAAATTTCTGGATAACACGTCTGCATGAAAAGGCAAAAAGAAGAACAGAGAACACTAAAGGGCGAGAAAACCTATGCTGTGAATACTGGCTTTGTCAGCTAATATCTCTGCTAGCCTCTTCAACTTAACCCCTCAGAGTCTCAGGTTCTTCACCTGTAAAGTGCAGATACCAGCACCACCCACAAAGCTATAGGTACTTAAAAAAAGGTGATTAATTATCCAGAGAAGTTGGGAATGAGTGGTGAAGAGAAAGCCAGATGTTCTTAAATACATCTTGGTGCTTAAAAAAAACAAAAACAAAAAAACTGCGTGGCTAATCAGCAAGCTTTAAATGAAAGCAGCTCAAAAGTAACTGTGAATCTTGTTTTGCATCTGTACCCAAAGACCTGGTCATTAGAGTTAGGTGCAAATTCAAGTTGCATCTTGCAAAATGTATCTAGTTTCTTCAACATTATCAGACCTCATTTCATATTTCTATCTTTAAATGAAAGGAGGTGAGAAAACACTCACCTTGATTGAAAGTCTTCATTATCTGTGCTTGTCCGAGGACTTATGAGTAGATGACAAATTAAGGGAAAACAACTTTGAAAAAAAAAAAAAAGGAATGGTGTCTCAACTTTTTAGTGCAGTCCTTCAGCTTGCAGGCCTAATTGGCTGTGACCAGCCTGGTAGCCTCAACTTCTACCAGCTCTGCTCGTCTGCTGCATCATCTTGCCCTTCTAATCCCCATGCCCCCAGCCCAAGGCACTCTGTTCCCTTTCTTCCTCTCAGTAGTAATACGACCAGAGAGAATCTAAATCCCTTGACGGCATAAAACAACCTCACAGTCACCACAGAAGTTAAAAAATAAATAAATAAATATATCAAGTCTCCCACTTCCACATTTCGTACATTTGAGAGGGTTAACTGAAGAGACTATTTAAAAGCTAATAAGCCCTTAAACTTTATTCAGACCACATACTACAACGGTACAATTCTAAACATGACCAGTATCAAAGCTTTCCATTACACTGATTAAAAACTCCAATAAGATGAAAAGGATATTGTTTCTTCTCTTCCTTTCCTCCTGAACTGTCCCGTTTCTCTTTCTTTTCTATCTTTTCTTTATCATGCCTGGACTCCTATAAGGAATGGTGGAATTAGTTTGGGAAGGGAAAACCAAATACAAAAATCAGCTCAAAATCCCTTTTTATCACCCATCAGTCATACATTTTCTTCAAAAACGTATTTAATGATGCCAAAAGCACAAGCAACAAAAGAAAAAAATTGGACTTCATCAAAAACAAAAACTTTCATGCATCAAAGAACACTAGCAAGAAAGTGAAAATACAATGTACGGAATGGGGGAAAATATTTGCAAATCATACATCTCATACGGGTCTAGTATCTAGACTATATAAAGAAGTCTTACAACAGAGCAACAAAAAGACAAACAATCCAATTTAAAAATGGCCACAGCATCTGAAGAGATTTCTCCAAAGAAGGTATACAAATGGCCAACAAACACATGAAAAGATGCTCAACATCATTAGTCATTAAGGAAATGCAAAATCAAAACCACAATAAGATACCACTTCACACCCGCTAGGATGGCTATATTTTAAAAAAAATTAATAATTAAAAAAAAACCCCAGAAAATAACAAGCGTTGGCAATGATGTAGAGAAATTGGCACCCTCGTACATTGCTGGTAAAACATAAGCTGATCAGCCACTGTGGAAAACAGTTTGTCGGTTCCTCAAAAAGTTAAACATAGCATTACCATATAACCCAGAAATTCCACTCCTGGGTATACGCACAAGAGAACTAAAAACAGGTCTTCAAACAAACACTTCAGAGCAGCACACAAACATTCATAGCAGCACTATTCACAATAGCCAAAGGGAAACAACAAAAAAGTCCATCAACTGACAAATGGATGAACAAATGTGGTATATGCATACAATGGAATATTATTCAGCCATAAAAAGAAATGGAAGTACTGATACATGCTACAGCATGGAAGACTCTTAAAATATTATACTAAGTGAAAGAAGTCAGACACAAAGGCCACATTATTATTCAATTCCATTTACGTAAAATATCCAAAACTGGTAAGCCCATAGAGACAGAAAGCAAATTAGTAGTTGACAGGGACTAAAAGGAGAGGGAAATAGGGAATGACTGCTTAATGGGTATGGGGTTTCTCTTTGGGGTGATGAAAATGTTTTGGAACTTGATAGACATGATGATCGCACATTGTAAATATACTAAATGCCACTGAATTGTACATTTTACAATGGTTATTTTTATGTTATGTGAATTTTACCTCAATTTAAAAAATACTTATTTAAAAGGAGCAGCATCACTTTTAAAACATACAGAATTTTTTTAAGTAGGCTCCACACCCAGCATGCAGCCCAACGCAGGGCTTGAATTCATGACCCCGAGATCAAGATTTGAGCTGAGATCAAGAGCCAGAAGCTTAATCGACTGAGCCACCCAAGCACCCACGCACAGAGAAATTTTAAAACGATTACAATTTTCCAAAACTGCTTTTAAGAACTATGACTATATGTACCATAATAATGCTTTTGAAACACTTTACACCTTAGTAATGACTTGCCTACTTTATGGCAGATGCATGAAATGTATTATAAATATCATCCATGAGTATCTAAGAAAATGCACACTATACTTAGTTTGAAAATCAAATACAAGTTGCAAACACGTAAGTTTATTAGGAGAAAATGTTATAAAAATGTTTAAAAATTACAATTAATAAAGACTTTATGACAATGTAATGATCAGGGAGAAAGAATACACGACCATATTTTAATCTCATGAATGTAAAGAAACCAAAAACACTGTTGGCGAGGAGGAATAAAAGAAAACACAAAAAGAAAGGGTAAAGGGTAAAGCTCAATGAATAGAAGTAGGTGGGGGTGGAATGGAGAGAAAAGGAATTTCAGAGGTAAACTAATTCTACTCTTCCCATAATCTGGGACCCAACTGGCTGGAATTCCCCCCAGATAACCTGCCCTCCCCCACTGCCTCCTCTTCCCACCCTCAAACAATTAACCAAAGACTATTTGATTACCAAAAAAACTCAGTATTTGCTAAATACTCAGAGTCAATTTTTTAAGAAAAAGCCTTTTGTTCCTTTGTTTCCCTAATTTACCTTTTTGCCACCGGAGGAGATTTTATCCATCTTTTCAGATTTAAAAGAATCGCCGCCTTTTTCTTTGCCTGAAGATTTTGACTTATTTTTTTCCTTGTCTTTCTCATTTGGATAAGGAGACTCACATGGACTTTCACTTTTGTGTTTTGAAACCCCCACTAAAAGTATAAAAGAGAATCATGAAAGCCTCTTCCAGTTCAGTTTGACGACAGCTTTGAAAGCATTAATAAATCTACCTACTTGTTCCATTTTCCTCTTTTCGCCTCTTGGCTAAGTCCGGCGGCACTTCACGGTCATTGTTTGAATGATCCTAGAACCAAGAATTGTGAACTACATTGATCAAGAGTTTATGTTTCTGTTTTAAAATACTACTTTTATACAAGGGCACAGCTAACTAGCATTGGAGAGTATTGGCAGTCGTTTCACATTGTAAAATGACATGAAAGACAAGCAGAGCTGGTAGAGATTGTTAGGCTGAAGATCCTTATTACTGTAGAAGATTCAATTCAAACACATTTTAGGGTGAAAATACCAGTTAAAACACCAAATAACAGCCTGCCATGCAACAAACTAGTACTTTAAAAAAGGCAACAAACACACTACCATACATAATATAATGGCTTTCCAAACTAGTTTTTAAAAAATTACAAACCCTTTTCCGCTCTTTCCTGTCCTTTTCATCTTTTTTCTCTCTTTCTCTGGATCTTTCCCTCGACTTGTCCAAGTCTTTCTTGTCCATTTCTCTCTCCTTACTCTTGGACAGTGGTGGAGGAGTATGATTAATGTAGAGCTGTTAAATTAAGGCAATATTACTAAAGATTATTAGTTTTCCAGTATCGGCATCATCTGCTTGATTGTTTATTTAATGAAAGACAATTGGTAGTTAGACCCAAAGTCAAAACTGGTCAGCTGTCTGGATTACAAGAGGTGAAATACAAGAGCATGGCACAAATTATGCAAAGACTTCAATTCTTGGCCTTACAAAAATTTTCATTTAAACTCAATCAGTTCATTCCTGTCTTAACTGAGACTCATGAGTAAATCTATAAGCTACAGTTCCTTTTATAACTCCATTGTGAAGATCTATAACCACCACTACAGAAGTCCATGTGAAAAATAATGACTGACTTTCTCTACTATAAAAAAAAAAAAAAAAGATACAAACCTCTACACAGAGAAATTTCAGTTTTACCATCCACTTACAAGGCAAGTGAGCCAAAGTATAAAATAAAACCTAGCCATGACTCTACTAATAAGTCTTCTCTGCCTCAGCATATACCATGCATACATTATCCTAAATTATTTTTATAAATGTAAAGGCTGCATATTCTCTACTTCTGAAAGCACTCCAATTTCTACCAAATAATCACAACGGACTGTGAAATTTGTCTCACTGGTTCTAAATAGCTCAGAAAACCATTTGGTTAGCTGAGGATGATAAAAAAACTCAGACTGAAAAATGATGAACTGATGTGTGCCTATTGTTTCAAAAGGCCCACAGGCAATAAACAGCCAAAGATCAAGGATGTGCTACCTAAATAATTAAGAGACAACCTTAATAACTTACGCAAGTTGTAAATATGGAAATCTAGTATAAAAGAAAACATTAAGGAAGTAATCAGATACCTATCCTTACAGCATTTATAACTGCTACAAGCTTATGTTCAATTTAAGACATTACAAGTATTAGGCAGAATATGAAATATAACTCATTACATAACTACACAATCCTAGATATACCTTAGGAATGAAAACAATAGTGAGTCAAAAGTCAAATAGTTTTACATGAGGAAATCCTCTGTAGTCAAAGGAATACATCAAAAAAAGACCATCAGTTTGAAAATCAAAGAAACACTTTTTTAACACCACCAAATATTTTCAATTCAGTTGGCTCAGAAATACTGCCATTAGCAATGCAGAAGTAGATTCTTTAAAATGTCAATGTTTAAAAGTTGATGATCAACTGAAATAGACAAAATTTTATTAATAACAAAGAGCAAGAGAATGAGAAACAGTCATAAAAGTGCTTGTCCGAATGGTACTCTTGCTGGGTTAATGCCCTATACAACACTTCAAGCTTTTCTAATTGTGAGGTTTATTCATATCTTAAGTTAATATTACTTATGAAAATGGTAAGACAAAAGAAATAATATATTCTTGCAATACTCAAAGAAGATTTCTCTAAGGGAAGTATTGCTTAATTCTCCTGATAAAAGAAAAAAAGGGGGGGTTGTGATTACAAATAAGTACACACAAGCACACGCATGCACACACACACACGCACGCACACACTCCTCAAGAATGAAGTTTTTAATTGTGCCTAACTTGAATTCTGTATTGCAAGGACCTGAGAAACCTATATATTCTTACTTTAGAAATGTACCTATTCTAGTCATTCTTCCTACCCTTCTAAGAATAGGTCTGATATACTCTTTTCCACAGTAACATGCAGTCTCTCACTGCCTACGGAATAAAATGCATACTCCTTAGCTTAGGTATTTCCAAGCTCTTCACAATCTTTGCACAATTATATTCTACTATGGGGCAACCCAATGCACTCTATGCTTTGGCTACCACTGGCTCCCTAACACCCTGTCCTTCCCAGCAGTTCTCTTCACCAGAATGGTAGCTCACTTTATCTTAATCTCTTAAAATCCTGCTAGCCTTCAAAGACAGCTCAAAAGCCATCAGCACTTCAACGTCCCTCAACTCTGCAACTCACTTTCCAGTGAATTCCTGTTATTATTTTATATTAACCTTTTCCTGTGAAAGGTATTCCCTATTAATTTCATGTCACTTATTCCTGTCCATAACAGTTTCCGGTATGGCAGGGAAGCTAATGTGTCTTTTCTACTTTTACACACTTCCTACTGCCTTGTACACAACCAAGTACTAAATACATGTTTGCCAAACCAAATGATTTGTTAAATTGATTTGCATATAGTGTTGATGGATTTTGCTTTTGATTTGCTTTTATTCTTTACATTGGGATCAACAGGTCCAAAAAACATGACTGATTTTCAAAATCTGTTAACACTGCTACACTGACTTTATTAAGGCTACCATATATAAAGATGGCCTCACTTGTAGGCTTCCCTTTGATTATAAATCCTTGTTTTAAGACGATGAACAAAATTAAAACCTGAATTCTGTTTTGAGTGGTCACTGCTGCCCTCCTCAATTACAGAGAAGCTTGGGTAAAGAAAATGCTTTTCACACTTTCATCAAATGTAGCTGCCAAGTTTGCTAGGTGAAAACACAAGTGACCAAACTGGAAATATGCCAATTGGAAATTGGGGGTGGAAGGTAAACAGAAACAATTTGGATACTAAGCTAGATTTTTCTCCCTTTAACAAATCCCACTTGAAAAGCCAAATCCATGTATTACTTTTACCATGGATTAGAAGGTGAAAATAGTAAGTAATTTAATAAAAAAGAGGATCCCAGGGAAAAAGCGTAACTAAAAAATTAAAGCACAGAAACAATTTTATATGTACAACTGACAAGAGAACACGAAAAATATACACACATCATTCAAATCCTCTAAAAAGTAAAAGCTACCCCAGAAACAGTGAGTTGATATAGATCGTCAATTTTAAAGATCACTCAAAGTCCGGTAACGTTTTTTTGTGGGTTTTTTTTTTTTTTTGTAAGACATTCATATGCTATTGAACTTTCCTAGACATATAAAAATGCAGACCAGTAACTGTGGATGCTTTACCAAAGTCCAAAGGCATAAGAGTTCATTTCAAATAGTTATTGAACACCTAATCATATCACCAAGTTAACCATACTGAGCACTAAGGATCTGAAAAGTGGTATGAGTCACACGATTTTTACAAGTGCATTCAGATGCCATTTTCAAAAATTTCTGATTGAATGTGGAATAAATCTATTGAATTTTAAATATCCAGAAAATCACTATCTTTTTTCAAAGGGGGATAGGGAGACTGACTTAAAGCACTATAATTTCAAAAACAAGGCAAACACACTAAAGGAGTTAGGAACCCATTTCGACTACCGCTGAAATGGGTGCTAAGAATCAAGGGACCACATATTTTTTTGCAATTTTTTTTTCATTGTGGTAAGAATACTTGAGGAACCTTAATTTTAGTCCAAGTTTTGGTACTACTAACAAGTTATATGCCACTGGGAAAAGATCAAGAACTTTTTCAGTCTCTTATTTGTCCAAAAGACACTACCCTCCTGCCCTATCTACCTCACAGCACTGTTATGAGCATGAAATAACATGTTTATCTCACATGTTTTATTTTCAAAAGACTTTCACAAATGTAAGGAACCATAATTTTCATCATTGATGAGAAATTCCAGTTAACTATAACAGCAGGTTTCAAACTGCTTCAAAGTATGTTTCAGGAAATAAATACTCACAAGGTAACATTGTTAACCCATGAATTTAAAATAGCCCACACAAGCCACTGATGGTTAAGACTGACATACACAATCCCAAACTGGTTATGAAAACCAACTGTATTGCAATACATACTTATTTTAGCCAATAAAAAGTTTTACCTTAAAAGAAAGCATTCACACAGTACAGCTAATACTCTTTTGATTAATACAGTATACTCTAAAAACAATGCTACAATTTCAGGACAAAGGCATATTGGCTAACCTAAACTATTAAAAAATTAGTGCTTATTGCCCAATATCCACAGACATTTCATTATAAAGCTACAGATCTAAAAGCAGTTAGTAATGTCAACTGGCTTTGTTTCAAAATTTCATTTTGTATTGGTCCACCAGTAAGAGATAATACTTAGCAGATATAAGAGGAGGCAAAGTAGAAAATCAAAGTGAAAGAGGGTACAAATTTTATAATAAGTAGACAAAATAACATGAACAATGGACAATTCAACTACAATAATGAAGTGAACTCTGTAATAAGATACACAAACTGCACATTATTTTTAGTAGAAGAATACTCAAGAAAGTAGAGTAATAGGCAAGAATTAATACTGACACGTAAACACGACCATCGGGTTGAGTATTCCCCTCCAAGAGAATGATTAGTTGACATTAACCAGATTTCTTGATAATTATGCTACAACTACCAAAAAGGTAGCTCAGCAGAGGCAATAGAGTTTTATGGATTGAGATGGGCTCAGTTTTTAGAACAGTACGTGAATGCATCAAATTTCTTTTCTGGTCTTTTGGGTTGTCTAAAAAAGTCAGAAAACAACCTAACAGATTTGTTTTGAGAAATTAAATAAGCTTACTCCCCAAAACAAACCAACAACCGCTTCCCCAAACCTTAAACTTATTTCCAGATTTTGAAGCATAAAAGGATAATGCATAACACAGCAAGCAAAGAGAGATTATAGAAATGTTGCCACATTACACGCATTTGATAACAATCTCATTAAAAGGGACCGTTGTCATCCATTGTTTCAGTTTGTGATAGGTATTTTTAAAGGTTATTCACTAGCTTACTGAATTTACTAGGGTGAAGGTATCTACTAAATAAATGAAGAATTTTTTTGTTTTACTTAGGCATGATGATTTTAAAAGACTCAAACCTTTGCTGAAGACTCCTTGAGTTCGATGAGACTGTCCTGTAGAAAATGAATGGAGATGACAGGTGAGCTGGCATAGTTCTCAGAACCCAGAGGAACTTTGGGAAGTATGGCTGTAACCTGGAAATAAACCAGCTACTTCTTGTGAGGATAAATCTTGTGATGTCAATTATTATATGAATATCAACAATAAAAAAACAAAAGCAAAACCATGTAATGGAATTGTAATGTTAAAAAAACTAAATTATATGTGCTCAATGTAACAAATAAAAATCTTTCTCTGCTCATAATTTAAAAATAAATGTCAATGCCACATTTTTCATAACACTGTACATAAACTATAAGTAATGTTAAGAGGCTTAAGAAAGCAAAACACTTTTTTCCCTCCACAAAAAGTTTAAAACAGTGGAGGTCACTGTGGAAGAACATTATCTTACATTTTCATAGTTGTTCTTTAATTGGGAGGTTTCAAATTTTACTTTACTTATGACTCTACCATAAATATAGACATTCTTAATCCTAGCCAAAAAACTCAGTGGCATTATATTAACAAGAAAACAAAATGTATTCTCTACAAGAGTAGTCACTTTTTTGCAAAGTGCCTCTGATGGTGAATCTCATACCTCCCACAAAAAAAGCACTTAAAAAAAAGAAAGAAAGAAAAATAAATCAATTACGGTATTCCACCACAGTGCTCTTGATGAAGAATTAATTAACTTACAGTTTTAAAAGTTCAACGTACTGCAAATTCAAAGATTCCATGAAATTAGATGACTTTAGAATTAAAATTAAATATGGAGCAAGGAATGGCTACCCTGAGTCTTCAAGAAGGCTACACCCACGATTTTGTGCTGCAGTTGAATGCCTGGGGTTTCTCTTTGCTGGGTGGTAGGATTGGATGCCACATCTGCTTTTATCGTAACGCAAGGTTCAACTTGTTGGGAACCCAATGGGTATAAACAAACCTCCAAGGGAAGATACAACAGAAGCTGCATGCTCACTGAATATACACAACTACAGGAGAACTGATCACCAAGGAGACTTTAAAATGGAACTCCTTTCAAGACTCCTTCTTAGAAGGCACACATCGGTATGATGCTCATCAAGAAGCTTGATGAATTCAGAGGTATCTTGTTTATCCTGTATCATCCAGGAAGTCTTCAGGGCTATATATTCTTCAATATTTATGCTGAAAAATAGGCTTCATTCTGCTGAAAAGATTCATTTGCTTGTAGCTACCATTGCACTCCAAAAAAGACTGCTTAAAGCAGTGAGGCACTTCTGGGTAAAATTTTTCTTGCACTTTGAAACACTACAAAATTAGTGCTAGGTCCTTGAAGTTTTAATATTTTTATAATAAAAATACTCAATAGGAAAAAAATATCAGTCCACCAATATGTAAAAAATTCATTTTCTAATGCAATATAAAACCTCCAGTGGCTCCAGTGAATACTTGGCACAAGACTTGAAGGAAGTCAGGACACGTATTCCAACCAGGTGAGCCTAACATGGACGCTGCCTTCCTCAGGCTATACTAACCTTTACTGTTGAGGAATGTGATGGAGAAGGGTGGGTATCAATTTTGCGGCGTTTTTGTTCTGTTGGTACAAAAAGAAATGGTCACGGTAAGATAGATTTCTACTTTTCCCAAACACTTAAAAAATCACCACTTTTAAGATCACTTTTAAAATCACCTTTAAGGTCATCAAGTATTCGCTCCCCCCCCCCAAGTAAAGTCCCTAGATAACTTGCCAAAACAAGGAGACAAGAACCAACTACACATTAACAAGAACCGAAAGTAAACCATAAATAAAGGCGAACTTGCCCCTTTCAGGCTCTGCAACATCTGATCGGGGAACAGGTGACTTCAAGGACCCAGAAACTGGTGTTTTTTCTCCTCCTTTAACATTTTCCTTTGATTTCATTTCCTTTGCTATATCTCTTTCTCTGGATGGCTCCTTCTCTCTTTCCTTTTCTTGAGTCGATTTTGATTCTACGTTGGCAACAGTGGTTTTGAATTTCTCATCTTTAGCTTTTTCTTCCTTCTTGAATTTTTCTTTCTCTTTGTCTGACTTGGGTGTTCTTTCCTTCGTCTCTCTTGCTTTTTCATCTTTATTTGGCCGCTCTTCCTTCGGTTTTTCTTTACCATCTTTACCAAGTATCCTGGCCTCTGGAGTAGTAGCTGGAGTCTTTTCTTTTTTCTCTTTTTCTTTCTCTTTCCCTTTTTCTTTGTCATTTTCTTTAACAGCTTTGCTGCTTAAGAATAAAAACACAAGATTTTAAGACAAACAGTCATAAAACATATTCCATGTTATAAATCCTAAAGGGTTTCTTACTGACTTCAAAAATAAAAGAGTAGCCCTTTGAAAACTCAAAGACCTTAAAGACAAGTAAAAAGGAAGTACTTCTTTATTCAGTAAATAATAAATGACCAAATTCATGAACAGCAGATTAAAAAAGAATGACTAAAGTGATGTCAGGCCGTTCTTTGTATATGTTCATAACCTCTGAGGATTACAAGGTCACAACCAAAAATTATCCCACAAGCCGATCAAGGGTGCTATTATCAGGAACTGGATTACTTAGCTGGATGGATCACTGGTCTAAATCAGTGTAGGCTTCTCTTATGTTCATTATCCTTACCCAGAATGCCCACAGCAAGCACTCAATCCTAAAATGCTTTTCTAACTTCACCACCTACCTTCATCTGCATAACTCAGCAGGGGAAACAATGTCAGTCTCAGCATTATATAAAACATAATGAGGACAGTTAAGCGCATCACCAATTAGGGGTAACACACAAAATTTCAAGGTCCAACACAAATGACTTTCATAGTATTCAACTACCACCCTGTTTCATTCATGTCTAATGAGGTTAATCATATAAGAATTCAGAATTCTGACATATAGCCAGTGTTCCTACCTGTTAGAGCTACTGTTTCCATTGCTTGAATTCCCTTTCGGTGTGGCACTAGAAGCTTTATTAACAGCTTTCACACCACACTGAGATCTCTCCCTTGATTTATCTGAAATAAAGGTAAGGTTTTATTTGACAAGCCCCTAATTGTAAATAAACTATCATTTCACAGCAAAATGATTAGAGATTAATTAGAAAGAAACAAAGGGCTAATTTCTTCTTGACAGTTACATACTCCTACCTAAGGAATAAACTATAATACTAAGCCAACATTTTATTTGTCATGTGATATAAAACAGCTTAGTTTGTTGAAACAAAATGTATTACTTATAAATTTCTACAAATAAGCATACCAGTCTCCTCAGTACTGCTTTCATCCGACTTAGACGCACTTCCTATCGACGATGAAGAAGGCCCACCACCAGGCCCATTTTGTACACTGGCAACTGCATTCCTCGGAGGGGGGTCTTTGTGATGAAACTCATTTTCAGGTATCATGTATGACTTTCTACTTTTCAACTGCCCAGAGTAGCTGAAAGTCGCACAAAGTGTTTAAATATACAAATACAAATCAAAAGCACAAACATGGAGTTTAAAAGAATAAAATTAGCAAATTATTCACTCTGCTACTTGGTTTCAGAGAATAAAAAATACTAATTTTCAATAAGTTCCTGAAGGTCTTTATAGAGAGCCCCAGATGCTTTCTTAAAAAATAAAAATTTCAATGTAAACTAATCCTTAAACTAAGATGCCTTTTTTTCACTACTGAAGATCCAAACCTCAACTGACGATAATAAAATTACATTTCCTCCAAACCAAGACATATTGTATATGACTTTTGAAACTATCATCCAGTATAGACCGGAAGCTGATAATCAGAAGTGACAACTCTCACCAGCCTGTGGGAACATGATCGCATAATCTCCCATAATCTCCTGAAGTAAGGCAGAAGATAAACTTCAACACTGTAAAACATTTTAAAGTCTTCAGAATCCTTCTGTCATCTAGTCTCATAAATCACATTAAAGTATAATTGTGTTACCCCATAGCCAATGCATATAGATCTGGCCTCTTCTCTTTTTCTTCTTGGCAGATTTTATGCACTCTTCTTTCCAAAGCCTGACCCAAATTCAAAACTTTTGGGTACCAAGGAAGTATTTTTGTTAGCACAATCAAGATATTCCTGATGTGAGTATATTCGCCTGTTTCAAGGCAATGTACGGATGCCTACAACAAACATTTTAAGATCTATTATTACAAAAGTGTAAGTATAAAGAGAAAAACCACCTTTGAGAAACATAATTTTTTTTACCTTGGTTAGTTTGTAATGCCATTTATGTACAACATGTCGAAAATTTTCATAGTCTAATTGGTCAGCTTTATTTCCACCATCAAATCCAGTGGCCCGTAATATAGTAAGGAATCCTGGATAATTTCCACATTCCTTGGGGGGGGGAAAAAAAAAAAGGTTGTTAAAGAAAAATTCTGCCCCTAAAATAGCAGAAGCTGAAAACTTAAGTGGACTAGATTAATGATTCCACGCAAAAACAAGATGTGTATTTGAATGACAGGTAGTTTTCAGAGAAAGGTTCAACTTATTCAGTGGTAGGAATTTGGAATGTCAGTTTGAGATAGATTTTTTTAAAAGCACTTTTTAATAATGAATGAATGATGTTTAAATTTTAAACACTGTTTTACAACTGAATCTTAAACTCAGCTTCCCTTTCAGAACTGAACCTAAAGATTACTGAAAGCTGCTGTTAGATACATGTAAATGTAAGGGTGTTTATTAGCCATACCTTTTCATACGTGGCTCTGTCACTGTGCCACCTGGTCACAGTCTCTAACATGCAGCAAAGAAATCTCCCATACCGACTAGCTTCATTTTCAGTACAGCTTGCAACTGTGTAAATTATATCAGAGAAAACCTACAGGAAAAATGTTTGAAATATAAAAACAAATCAAGGTCAAAATTAGTTCAAAATAGTAAAAGGTTTTTATAGCAAATAAACTGGTTTAGTCAAAATGTATCTTCCTCTTTTATAGTCACAATTCCAGAAATCTTTAAAGATTTTGGCCTTTGTGAGGAAACAGCACATTCATAAAGCAACAACAACAAACTTTTATTTGAAAAAACTGATTTACAATGACAGTGGAAAAAACTATCATTATTATTACAACATAACTTCTTCAACAAAGACTTAGCCATAGATATTATTGGGGTTAGGGGGACAGTAAGCAGAGGCGAGGCTGACAGAAACTAGAAATAGGCAGCTGACATGCTGTGACATATACTACATTTTAAAACCACAAACGCAGTATTTACTAGTAAGAAAAAAGCCAGATGCAAAAATACATAAATGTAACCATACTGAAAAGCATCCCTGCTTTTATGTATGTGTGAAGGTGTAAGCTGTTTTGTTGTTTTTTTGAGGGGGTGAAGGTTAAGAAAAGAGTTCTATTATGACAAACATATAAACCCATACTATGAGTTACTAGATTAACTAGGGGTGCTTATTACATGTCAGGCACTATTCAAAGCACTTTTGTGTGCAGTGACTCATTTAATTCTCACAACAATCTTATAAAGCAAGTACTCTTATCCCATTTTACAGATAAGAAAACTGAGGCACAGAGAGGTTTAAAAAACTTGCCAAAGGTCATATAGCTAGAAAGCAGCAGAGCTAGGATTCAAGTTCAGGCACTTGGCTCTTGAGTTCATGCTTTAACCACACACACAATAATACCTCTATAGATTATAATGTTTACCTATCTTTGTGTGAGTTTTTTTTTTAAAGGTTGCAATAAAAAGAACTTACTCGATCATAGCAAAGAAGTGTGGAAAAATTTGGAGTTTTCTGTTGATGTACCAATTCAACAAAACGAGCACAGTAAACAGCATCAATTGCTGAAAAAATACATCGAGGAAATATACACAGCTGTAGAAATTTTGTGATGGTCTCATTTTTGGTAGATTCTAAAAATAAGGGAAGAATATATTAAGTGGTAAACTTCTTCCTCAAGTGCCTCAAGACCACTAAACATGACAACATATTAATTTTAGTGTAGAGAATGCTATAAAAAAAACCCACAAACTCCTTATAGTTTGTAACCAAAAGGTCATGTCTGGGATAAAACTTTCACTTTCACTCTGTGGACATTTTTCTATCTATAACTTCTCCAGAAACATGATTTCATATAGAAAGGTTGAATGATAAGCTGCCAATATTGTAGTTATAAGTTAATTTCACCAGCAAACTAAAACAGTTCCTTTGGTGAACATGTGAGGTCGACTCTGCATTAATGAATAACCAAAGAATGGGATAGTGAACACGGAGCTGAAATACAAACATAATACACTTCAACACCTCTGAAGCTGTAGAGGTTTGCTTTTGTAATTTGGCAGTAGCAGGAACATAACAATTCCAACAACCTACTTGCTAAAAGCCAGTTGTCCTTTTCCAGTTTCAGTCTCTGTAGAACTCGCTGTACGTGTTCCATCTGTTTCTTTTCTTCTTCAAGAAGCTTGTCCTGAAGGGCAGTACAACGCTCTTTCTCTTTTTTCTTTTTATTTGGAGGCTACGAAGTATAAGTTAGATACTTTTCTAACTACACGCACATTACCTCCCTTCCTTTTAATTAAAAAATTCAAAAAGAGATCAGGGCTGATATTTTATATTAACCACTTCACAGGGATATTGAGGAGTCTACCTGGATGTGCTTTCACCGCCATTCAACAAATTCAAAATCTGGTCTTCACATCAAAACAGGCTACCTTCCTAGCACTCATACTTTTAGTCTCAGGCATGAAGTCATCTCTGACTCTTCCTTCTCCTTCCTTCCAGCATCCCGATTGCTTACAAGTCTCATGCATTCCCACTACCTCCACCAATAGTCTATGTTCTCAGTACTTCACAATGAATTACCCTAAGAGCCACCTAGCTGAACTCCAGCCTTGATGCCAGTCCCTTCCCCTAAGAAATGTATCCTTCAAACCACTGTCAAGAGTAATCTTTCTAAAGTACCATTTTTACCATTATCACTTTCCTGCTGAGGAATCTAATATAGCTCTCAATTTTATCAAGTCTTCTTTTCTAACTTTCATTTCTCTACATAATCTGATCCCATCCTAACCATTCAAATTTATCGCTAAGCCCATTCACTACAGTAAAAGTGGTCTCTTTAAATCTTAAATTACTTCATACCTTTGCTGAAGCTCTTGAGTGGCCAATCTGCCTCCCTATTTCCAAACCTAATCTACCTTCAAAGCCTACCCAGCTCAAGACTCAACTCTTCAATAGTCTTCTCCTAAAGAGTTCTCCTTTTGGGAACTCCTATTACTCTTGCAACTGGAGTCACACAGATTATTTTACATTGCTAACACAACTTCAGTTTAAAAAAAAAAGACAAACTCAAATACCTTTTGTGTGATCATAACTGCCAGGTATTCACCAAGCCCCTGCCCCACCCACTGGGAGGTCACCATTAACTCACTTAGGAAAATATTATATAGCAATAAGATCACAGCTTTAAGGAACCTTAGCTAATACAAAGCATGCGTAATATTAAATTATTACCATGGAATTATTGTACTTGAGCTACTAGAACAAAAACCTACCATTTCCTGATTGTCATCAATTGCTTTCATCTGGACTTTAAGTTTATTGACTTCCCGTTCATAGCTGGTGTGTGGAACTGCAAGGTCATACATTGTCAATGACCAGAATGTGGCATAGAACTGAGGGCTGATGTCATCCCAGACTTTGGAAACGTGTAAGGAGACCACTGCTTCATGGACAGGAGCCATCACCATTTCACATGATGTAATGTACTTGTGAACTTTATGTTGCTGTTTACTTCCCTTTTCTGATTTTTTAAGTTCATCGTATTTAGACTGGAGATAAAAAGTAAAAACAAACACAATTTATAGCACTAACTTTCACAGTATAAAAACCTATGTTCCCTTTTCAAGAATCAGAAGACAACTAATCAAAACTGTTGTAGGAATTCTAAGTTCTTACCAATGATATTTATTTTAAGATAAATCATCCCTGGAAGCTGTTCTCATCTTTAGTCCTGTGTGATCACTAGAAGCTTTTAAGATTATTAAAAACATAGGGGGCGCCTGGGTGGCTCAGTTGGTTAAGCAACTGCCTTCGGCTCAGGTCATGATCCTGGAGTCCCGGGATCGAGTCCTGCATCGGGCTCCCTGCTCAGCGAGGAGCCTGCTTCTCCCTCTGACCCTCCCCCCTCTCATGTACTCTCTCTCATTCTCACTCTCTCAAATAAATAAATGAATCTTTAAAAAAAAAAAAAAAAAAGGGTATGTGTACCACCTCCACCATCCATATCTTCCACCGTACTCTCGCTTACTACTACATTAAGAATTGAACATGTAGGGTTTCCACTCCAGCTTTTAAGATCTTCAAGGGAACCAGTAACAGCCAACCAGCACAGTATGCTTTATTACTACACATAGCCCCTATTGGCCATTACAATTTGTCAATTAAGAAAGTGGATCCAGGGCGCCTGGCTGGCTCAGTCGGTGGAATGTGCAACTTTTGATCTCAGGGTTGTGAGCTCCAGCCCCACTTTAGGTGTAGAAATTACTTAAAAATAAAATCTTCAAAAAAAAAAAAAAGAGAAAGAAATTGGATCAACATTAAGAAAGGCTATGAGAAAGTTACTATAAGACTGCTAAGTAGGGTGACTAACTGTTCAGGTTTGCCAGCGAATAAGAGGGGATTCCCAGGATGTATAAGAGTATAGTGCCAAAACTGGCAAAGTCCCAAGCAAACCTAAATAAGACTTTTTTTATTTTTAAGATTTTGTTTACTTATTTCAGAGAGAGGGAGTGAGCATGCACAAGAGAGAGCAAAGGCAGTGGGAGGGGCAGAGGGAGAGGGAGAAACAGATTCCCCACCAAGCAGGGAGTCCAACACAGGGTTCAATTCCAGGACGCTAGAATCATGACCTGAACTGAAGGCAGATGCTTAACCAACTGAGCCACCCAGGTGCCCCTAAGTAAGACTTTCTATGAATGGATATGGTATATTAGTTTAAAGCATGTGGGAATTGACACTGCAGCTTTTTTAGACTGGACTGGTTTATCCTAATTTGGAAGAGAGTCAGAGGAAGGCCATACTCTTAAGAGTATGAGGAAAAGAATCTGTTAGTACAATGGGAGGGAACTACATATTAGTTCACAGAGCATAATACCAAATGTAAAAAAGAAAATAATACAAAGTGTTGTTGCTATTGTCTCATGTCCTTCAGTCTCTTTAGGATGAAAATTTTGTTTGGGTTAGGCATCATTCCTGAAGATGAACCTAAGAGGAGATTAAAACATTTCTTTTTGTTAGAAAAGCATTTAAATCATCAGTTTGTGCTAAACATGGAACCCAGAACTAGAAGGTCAGAGGTCAAAGGTTCCACTTCCAGTTCTGCATTGTGGTAGGCAAGAGTCTTGGCTCCTTACACTCCAGCTGTCTTCCCTCCTAAGGGTCTCTATACCCCAGGCTAACTGGACTGAAGATATACCAAGTACTTTGTTCCAGAGGGTATCTCAAGCAGCATCTTACAATTATTATAATTACAATCTGAGACTCTTACAATTTTTCTGTAAGTGGATTTACCTTCTGTTACCCCCATTTTAGAGAGCATGCTGATAATTACTAAGACCACACAGGTGACAAAACTACAAACAATATTCCTTATGAGAGAGAAGTCCCAATTACATCACAGACCTGAGAGAATAACAGCAAGGATAAGGAAGCATTTTTACACTTTGAGGGCAGGTCCTGTTGATGGTAACGAGTATCAATCTCTGTGAGGAAGAATGACATCTGCTAAGGTTCTAACAAAACATAGGGTAAGTAGTGCCGAAACTACCTGTATAGGATAGCTTAACTACCTGATTTGGGCAAGATCTAGAATATGAACTGGGTGGGGGAAAGCCTTTCTTTCAGAACTGTGTTACAAGGTGGATCTCAACAATTAGAACTAAAAATTAGGTTTATAGGTATGAGAGGGTAATGATGTGGTACAACAGCCCCCATCTCCCCAGTCCTCGGGTTCTGAATCTGTCACTTTTATTGCTAGGTACCCACCTAGTCCCTATCTAGTTAAAAAAAAATTAGGCTTGATCAGAAAAGACAGCTATACTTCATATTTAACTAGGATGAATAGTTCCTGGTCTAAAGTTAGTTTAACTCCTTCTTCAAGCTTACACCTTCAGTCAAATGGAGAGGCATTAACAGCTCTACATCTCAAGTCACCCAGTGCACTAAATCTATGAAATAGAACTGATATCCACAGTTACTGCTATACTTCTAATTCCTGTTCAAAAAGCTCTTGTTGCCCCAATAACCTGAACAGTGTTTGGTTGGCTGAATTATTCCCATGAGAGCCTACTAGTAATCAATTTATGGAAGGGTCCTAGCAGTCCTCCAATATTCATACCCTCTCATCAAAGGCTCTTCAAGAGAGGCTCTCGGGCGCCTGGGTGGCTCAGATGGTTAAGCGTCTGCCTTCGGCTCAGGTCATGATCCCAGAGTCCTGGGATCGAGTCCCGCATCAGGCTCCCTGCTCAGTGCAGAGCCTGCTTCTCCCTCTCCCTCTGCCATTCCCTCTGCTTGTGCTCTTCTATCTCTCTGTCA